AAAAATGCATAATAAATCACTCACCTAAGTCAATAAATGAGTGCATAAAATGTGTAAGCATGCAGCTGCCCTAATAGTGAATAATGCAATAAACACCTCATGAACCAATGATGAATAAATAAAAGCAGCGCAAAAAAAAAAAAAAATATATATGTATGTATATATAAACACTAGCAGAGTGAAAATATGACACAAAATATAACACTGTACATATACACAAATATTTAAATCATTTGACATAAGTCCATCAACTAAAAAATTTAAATTGTGACAAAGTACAAAGTCCTTATTGATCCACCAAAATCACCACATGAGCAACATAACGATAATTGATTGAGTAAAGTGCACTCATATATCATCACCTCGTGCTCCAGAGGAAAACCTCCCCCATTTCAGTATCACTCACCAGGTATCGTGGCCCATCCAAACCTGATAGGCAATAGCGCTTATGGTGAGTGTCAGCGTAGTACAGACAAGCCCTTCATCAATTAGAGACTGATATGATGGCGGGACATCCTCCAAACTAATATACTCCGTAATCAAGGAAAGATGTAAAAGGAAACTCATAGTGTGAATCCATTAAAAATCATTTATTGGGTAGAAAGTATTGCACTCACATGAAATAAATAAAACCATGCCAAAATATCCACAATAACCGTTAAGGGTATCTGCATATCACATGAAGCGAGCATCTCACCCGATCCTCCTCACTGCACTGCACGCGAGCAATACGTCACCTCCAGCGGGGGATGTGAGGTGGATGCCTCTGTGTTTGATAACTGGCCATACTATACCCGGGGGGGTTTGGTATGACGGTGGTCCCTGTGCTGGTGGTGGAGGCTGGGCATTGAAACCACACATCCATGTAGCAGACTGTGATTGCTCAACTCCGAAGCTTTGCTGATTCCAAGCTTGTCCATACATACTGTAAGAGGGTACCTGCTATCCATTAGCCACATACTGGCCATATTGCTGGGGGCTACTATACATCTGGCTCCCTTGACCCCACAGTCCACCTGCTGGAAGCCCTTTGCCCTGTCTTACTGCAGAGTTTGTGAAGTTCAAGCTTTCAACAAGATTTGCAAAACTGACTTCCCTTCTCCAGAGGGAAGACTACACATGTATATCTGTCTAGCAGTTTTCAGAACAAACGTTAGGTCATGGGAAACATGGACTTTATAGACTACTTACTGTGTGTATGTTAAAAGGCACAAAGTGTCAAGTTATCATGCTTTTGCATTGTGATTTATAACATCTTTAATACTTTGAAACTGATATGGCATCCATTCATCAAAGCTTTTTGGCATTTACATCATGACTATACTACCTCTAAAACTTGTACTTATTTGTTTTATTTCCTGCACAGCAGTCAGTCTCTGTCTTCAAAGCCTGACCTCTTGTTCTGGAAACATTTTAACAAGTACGCAACTTACAAAAATGCAAAGCATACCTGTCAACTCGCATCTTTTAAGGGCAATGTTTAGTTCTCTTACAAGATCTATGTAAAATGCATTGATCCCTTAAGTTATGTCCTAATGCCTTAAATCTAAAAATATGTAATCTGAAAATCTTATATGAGCAAGAATGAAAAACATCCATGCCTCCAGGTGATACAGTTTGAAAGTGTGAAAAGACATAATTAGCCGTAATGTGGATGTTACAGATCAAAAAGGGGTTGTACAGTATATGGACAGTTTCTAGATATAGGCCATCAGGGACAGGCATACCACCTAGGATACTGCTAAAATGGTAAGGGTAAAACATGCAAGACGTACAAGGGTAAAGCAAACAAGACAGCTGTGCCCTCAAACAGATCCAAAACTGCGTTGCAGAATGCAAATCCACTGGGCAGTGTAAGAGGACACTAAACCACTTACCACCAATGTAAAGATCAATAATCTAAGTACCAGCAGACTGAAAGTGATCATCAGTCGGACAGGTTAACTCCACTGTTAGGCCCCATGCACACTGAGCATTTTAAAAAGCTCCTCCTGAAAGCCCTATGAACACCAGACGTCCTGGCATGAAAACACACCAGGATAACCTGGTAACAGTATAACACCTGGCAACAGGATATACTTTTGCACCCTTACACCATTACTTCCTTATGGGTGTGTCCAGGGTGCTAAAGGTGACCCATGAAACTTGCCAGGCAATGTGAAAGGAGTTGCTTGATATACTCATACCTCAGTCAAGCAAAGAGAAGAAAATGAAGAAACCGAAGAAAATGCTGCCCAAGTCTGGATCTCTTTATTTCAATTACAGAAAGTATTTTGTCTTTATCCTTTGTCCTATTGGCATTGGCTGATGTACACCTCCAGTTCACATCCCTTGATGCCGGAGCTTATGACAGCCAAAGTGATGCACAAATCTTCTGAGGGCTTGCGATGGGCGTCACCTATATTAAAGAACATCTCCAGATTTCCCCAAGAAGTCTCTCGTGTGGCACAAGAGAGCCAAGTCTTCCGCTGGGCATTGTGGTGGATAAGGATTTCAGACTAGCAAAGAATCAAATGCTCTATACAGTGGGTACGGACAGCTACAACCAGAAGATAGTTCATTGTCTTCTAAGCAGTACCTGTCAAGTTGTTGAGTGTGAATTTGGCATCTGCACAGCAAGGTGGTGTGTTCTCTTCTCCTGTATGCAGTTGGATGTGGAAAATGTGATCAAAGGAGAGAGGCACGTCTGAACTTGCGTCACCAACTCCTGCTCAGTATGTCCAGTTTATAGACTTATGTTCCACTGCATGGGTCATAAGCATCAGAAATCAATTTCTAAATGTCTTTGTATTGCTAAAGGGTGAAGTCCTGGCAAGATCAATATATGTTGGTCATCTGATATCTATAGGCTGTACCCTTTCTCAAAATGAAAAAATCTCTCTCTCTTTGAATATACTTTTTCAAACGTGTCTGTCAGGGCTCCCAGGTATGACCAGAGGTGTGTGACTGAAGCAGGGAAACGCAGACCTCAGATATGTTATAAACAATATAATTTATTAACACTAACAGTACAAACATAAACGCAGTGCAATACTAAAACATAATACAGTGCAAACAAACCAAACCAAACACCCACAGATAACAGTATATACAAGCAAGCGTCGTCAGGCAGGCCGGGTCAATATCAATTGGGCAGGTAGGTACAGGGGGAGCAAGCGGAGAATAGTCGGGGTCACAGGCCAGGTTCAGCAGGTAGCAAGCAGCATAGTACAGAGGGTCAGACAGAGGAATGGTCAGGGTCACAAGCCAGGATCAGAGCAGGAGAAGTCAGCAAAGGAACAGAAACAGGATGCAGGACAGATACAGGGCCCAGGACAAACACAACACCAAGGCCGAGTCTGCAAGTCTGGCCATCCCTTAAATACCCCAGCATCATCAGTTCCAGGTGTTAGCTGGCTGAAAGGTTGAGTCTCTGATTGCTGGGAGCACCCGCTGGCCAGCCCTGGTACTGCAGATCAAAAGGCAGGGTGAGTCCCACCATTGCTGGCCAGTCCATTCCTAACAGTACCCCCCCCCTCAAGGGAGCGGCCTCAGGACGCTCCAAACAGTCCTAGCTGGGCAAAATGTTCCACCGCCCAGGTCTGGCAACTGGCGGGATATCAAAGACTGGCACACCGGGCAGGACTCCGGGCAGCGGCACACCGGGCTGGACTCCGGGCAGAGGCACATCGAGCAGAGGCACATCGAGCAGAGGCACACCGGGCAGAGGCACATCGGGCAGGACTCCGGGCAGAGGCACATCGGGCAGGACTCCGGGCAGAGGCACACCGGGCAGAGGCACATCGGGCAGGACTCCAGGCAGAGGCACATCGGGCAGGACTCCAGGCAGAGGCACATCGGGCAGGATTCCGGGCAGAGGTACATCGGGCAGGACTCCGGGCAGAGGCACATCGGATTACCAGGCGAAGCAGCAGGCAGCGGGCCACCAGGCGGAGCGGCAGGCACCGGGCCCCCGGGCGGGGCGACAGGCACCGGGCCCCCGGGCGGGGCAGCAGGCACCGGGCCCCCGGGCGGGGCAGCAGGCACCGGGCCCCCGGGCGGGGCAGCAGGCACCGGGCCCCCGGGCGGGGCAGCAGGCACCGGGCCCCCGGGCGGAGCAGCAGGCACCGGGCCCCCGGGCGGAGCAGCAGGCACCGGGCCCCCGGGCGGGGCGGCAGGCACCGGGCCCCCGGGCGGAGCGGCAGGCACCGGGCCCCCGGGCGGGGCGACAGGCACCGGGCCCCCGGGCGGGGCGACAGGCACCGGGCCCCCGGGCGGGGCGACAGGCACCGGATCCCCCCCCGGGCGGGGCGACAGGCATCGGGCCCCCAGGCGGGGCGACAGGCATCGGGCCCCCAGGCGGGGCGACAGGCATCGGGCCCCCAGGCGGAGCGGCGGGCGCCGGACCCCCAGGCGGAGCGACAGGTCTCGGGCCCTTAGGCGGAACGACAGGTCTCGGGCCCCCAGGCCAGGCGGGGGGGCGGCGGGCACCGAGTCACCAGGCACAACAGTGGGCTCCGAGTCAACTGGGATGACCGCTGGCACTGGGTCAGACATTGGATCGTCTGGCTGGACAGCGGGCATCGGGTCACCAGGCATCAGGTCATTTGGCTCGACAGCGGGCACCGCGTCATCTGGCAAGGCAGTGGGCTCCGAGTCAACTGGTATGACCGCGGGCACTGGGTCAGACATTGGATCGTCTGACTGGACAGCGGGCACTGGGTCACCAGGCATCAGGTCATTTGGCTCGACAGCGGGCACCGCGTCATCTGGCAAGGCAGTGGGCTCCGAGTCAACAGGCACGACAGTGAGCACGGGGCATCAGGTACCGGATTGTCTGGCTCGACAGCGGGCATTGGGTCACCAGGTATGACAGCGGGCACTGGGTCACCAGGCATCAGGTCATTTGGCTTGTCAGCGGGCACCGCGTCATCTGGCAAGGCAGTGGGCTCCGAGTCAACTGGTATGACCGCGGGCACTGGGTCAGACATTGGATCGTCTGACTGGACAGCGGGCACTGGGTCACCAGGCATCAGGTCATTTGGCTCGACAGCGGGCACCGCGTCATCTGGCAAGGCAGTGTGGGCTCCGAGTCAACAGGCACGACAGTGAGCACCGGGGCATCAGGTACCGGATTGTCTGGCTCGACAGCGGGCATCGGGTCACCAGGTATGACAGCGGGCACTGGGTCGCCAGGCATCAGGTCATCTGGCAAGGCAGTGGGCACCGCGTCACCAGGCATTGGATCGTCTGGCTCGACAGCGGGCATCGGGTCACCAGGTATGACAGCGGGCACTGGGTCACCAGGCATCAGGTCATCTGGCAAGGCAGTGGGCACCGGGTCCCCAGGTATGACAGCGGGCACTGGGTCACCAGGCATCAGGTCATTTGGCTTGTCAGCGGGCACCGCGTCATCTGGCAAGGCAGTGGGCTCCGAGTCAACTGGTATGACCGCGGGCACTGGGTCAGACATTGGATCGTCTGACTGGACAGCGGGCACTGGGTCACCAGGCATCAGGTCATTTGGCTTGCCAGCGGGCACCGCGTCATCTGGCAAGGCAGTGGGCACCGGGTCACCAGGTATGACAGCGGGCTCTGAGTCAATTGGCACGACAGCGGGCACTGGATCAGGTACCGGATCATCTGGATCAACAGCGGGCATCGAGTCAACTGGCCTAATAGGATCGTCGGGCTGGATCAGTTCATCCTGCTGAGTAGCGGCATCAGGCTGAATGCAGGCATCAGGCCGAGTAGAGGCATCAGGCCGAGTAGAGGCTTCAGGCCGAGTAGAGGCTTCAGGCCGAGTAGAGGCTTCAGGCCGAGTACAGGCATCAGGCCGAGTACAGGCATCAGGCCGCGTAGAGGCTTCAGGCTGAGGAGAGGCTTCAGGCCGCATAGAGGCTTCAGGCCGCGTAGAGGCTTCAGGCCGAGTACAGGCATCAGGCCGAGTAGAGGCATCAGGCCGAGTAGAGGCTTCAGGCCGAGTAGAGGCTTCAGGCTGAGAGGCTTCAGGCTGCGTACAGGCATCAGTCTGAACCACGGAAGGCAGGCTCACCGGTTTGGATACTGGCAGGATGGTATTGGTTGGAAAGAATTTTCGCTTTTTTCTGGTTTTAACTACTGGAGCACTCAAGTAAACGCAGGTCTGCAAACGAATGGAGCAGCTGGAGACAGAGAAGAACTGGAGGATGGAACAGGAGAGGGAGCAGTTGCTACAGAGGGCTTTTTTACAGGGTTGAAGGCAGGATAGGTGCAGCGAGTGGGAACAGGGTACTGACATGCGGTATATAGCCAAGTATACTGGGCTGTAACTGGAGGAGCTGGTGGGAATACAGGAGTAGAGTTAGAAGCAGGACTGGGTCTTTGTAAGCTGACTGAGGCTGGGTGCAACAAGTCTGACCATGTCTGCAGTAGGGGTTGAACAAAGCTGAGTTTACACAAAGTCTGTCTGGTCAATGACTGCACTGCGTTTATACAATCTCTCAGTGTCTGTGGTGAACATGTGGAATAACGCTCCAGAAAGTAACCCACATCATCCTCTAATAACCACACCAGGGACTCTACCTGGTCTGCACTAAATGGTGGCAAAAATTTCATCCCTGCATTCGGGAAACCAGATGAAACCAACTCAACACAAACCTGAATCAATGGCTGCACCATAGAGAAAACTGTGCCCTGATCTACTAGAACATGAGCGAGCCGTATACATTCTAGCAGTTCATCCCGGGTATACTCCTTCAGAGTCTGATAAGCATACTCTCTGTCATCAAGCACTAGCAGAGATAAATACTCAACCTCATCTAGATCCATCCTTCCCATCAACAAGCCAAGATGGCTTCCCTGTGCAGCCACTTCTGGTCAGGATTGGCCTTGGTGTAATGTCAGGGCTCCCAGGTATGACCAGAGGTGTGTGACTGAAGCAGGGAAACGCAGACCTCAGATATGTTATAAACAATATAATTTATTAACACTAACAGTACAAACATAAACGCAGTGCAATACTAAAACATAATACAGTGCAAACAAACCAAACCAAACCACCCACAGATAACAGTATATACAAGCAAGCGTCGTCAGGCAGGCCGGGTCAATATCAATTGGGCAGGTAGGTACAGGGGGAGCAAGCGGAGAATAGTCGGGGGTCACAGGCCAGGTTCAGCAGGTAGCAAGCAGCATAGTACAGAGGGTCAGACAGAGGAATGGTCAGGGTCACAAGCCAGGATCAGAGCAGGAGAAGTCAGCAAAGGAACAGAAACAGGATGCAGGACAGATACAGGGCCCAGGACAAACACAACACCAAGGCCGAGTCTGCAAGTCTGGCCATCCCTTAAATACCCCAGCATCATCAGTTCCAGGTGTTAGCTGGCTGAAAGGTTGAGTCTCTGATTGCTGGGAGCACCCGCTGGCCAGCCCTGGTACTGCAGATCAAAAGGCAGGTGAGTCCCACCATTGCTGGCCAGTCCATTCCTAACAGTGTCTTTTGGTGTTTTGTTCTTTTTTTGTCTCTCAGCATAGTTTTCTCTTTTTCTTCTGTGAGAGGTAAAGCTTACATTCCGCTGGAGGATGTATGCATTTACCCCACACACAAGAAAAAAGTTAGATGTAGAATTTACTTCTGTGGGAGGTAAAGCATACATTCCACTGTGGGATAAATGCATTTACCCACCTCCCACACACAAAAAAATGTGATGTTTAATTTTTTTTCTGTGGAAGGTACAGCATACATTCTGCTGTGGGATGTACAGTGGGGCCAAAAAGTAGTTAGTCATCCACCAATTGTGCAAGTTCTCCCACTTAAAAACATCACTGCTCTAGAGGAGATCTTCATGGAGGAATGGGCCAACATACCAGCAACAGTGTGTGCCAACCTTGTGAAGACTTACAGGAAACGTTTGACCTCTGTCATTGCCAACAAAGGATATATAACAAAGTATTGAGATGAACTTTTGATATTGACCAAATACTTATTTTCCACCATAATTTGCAAATATATTTTTTCCAAATCAGCCAATGTGATTGTCTGGATTTTTTTTCTCATTTTGTCTCTCATAGTTGAGGTCTACCTATGATGCCAATTACAGGCCTCTCTTATCTTTTTAAGTGGGAGAACTTGGGCACAAGTGGTGGCTGACTAAATACTTTTTTGCCCACTGTATGCATTTACCCGCACACACAAGAGAATAGGTAATTTTCTTCTGTAGGAGGTAAATTATACACTCCCGAGGGATGAACTAATTTACCCCACACACAAGAAGACACGGCAACATGATGCATTTTGCAAATTTTTTTTTATTTAATTTGTAAATGTTTTATATTGAATTCGATTTTTTTTATTTATTTGCAATTTTTTTGTTTTTTACTTTTTTTTTAAAAACAAATAAACAAATTCCCCAAAATAGCCCCAAAAATTAACCTTGAATTTAAAATAAGAAATAAAGATTCTGGTACACTTGATAAGAAGGAGAATTATCCCCATGGGCATTAGGGGTGGTTACAATGGTAGGCTAGAGTCAGTGATTCAATGTAAGAGTGTGTAGATGGTGGCAGGCTTAGTGGAGGAACATGGTATGAAGACAGAGATGGGCCAGCTGAGGTCTTAGTGTACATGGGTGGACCTTGAGAAGCAGTGCATGGATAGGTGGAGGGTGGCATGCTACTCCTTTTTGCTGCTGCATATTGCATGGCAGCTGTATAAAGGCTATCCATTCCTTTCCCTCAAGGTTGCCACTCATGTTCTTAAACAGGTTGTGCAGGAGTTATCAGGATTAAAAAGGAATCCATGAAACGCCTCTACTGCCATGCCTCTTGTAACAATGCCATTATGGTATTTAGTCTCCATGTCCCTGGTACATTCTGATTCCAACCCCCCCCCCCCCCCCTCCCGACTTTGCCACTGCTCACGTCCTACTTGATGTGGATGTACTGCATCCTAAAAAATTACAAACAATGACACAAAATGCATAGAAGGTTGATGGACAGATAGGTACTTGGTGCAACTGACAGTGAGATGACCTGGGTGTCAGGGATGCAGACGGCTCAACTGAATACTCCTCCACCAGGTCTTCCACCTGCTCCCTCTCCCCTGATGACCAGTTAGATGTGGCCTTGAAAAGAGAAATTAAATTACATTTAAACAAAATTGTAAAAAAAAGTTTAAAAAATTGTAAAGTTTTTTTTTAAAAAGAGAAAACATTTAAAAAATTGGCTAAAAAAAAATTTTTAAAAGGGAAAACATTTTTTAAAAAACTAAAAGAGGAAATCAATTGAAAAAAATACAATTATTATACCAAAATATTAGAACTTGTTTTTTGTCATTCTTATATTTCAGTCACTCAAGAAAAATACTTATGGTTAATATTTAATTTTGTAAAAAGTTTACATACATATTTTAAAAATACAGCAATATGTACTTATACCTATTCCTTTTCTGGGTCTTCAACAGCCACTCCCATTTTTCGGTAAAGCTGGCAGCAATGCCTGGCCAACTTTGGCCTTATGGATGCAGTCATATTTTGGGTGAGAGATGTCCCACAATTTGGGATAGATCTCCATTGCTACTATGAAGTCTGTCTGGGCAATGTTTCGGGCCAGACATTCACACAACAGAAAAAAACAAAGGACAGACAGAAATTTCTTAGATTCTCATTAATATTCAATATCATATTATTGCAGTGTCCAATAAAATCCATTAACGCCAGACATACCTAAATACGCCTAAACGCACCTATGTTACTGAAAACATGCACCGTTCACAGCATCTGCTGTTGTATACCTGACCTTTTATAATAAATGTCTGTATCACTCACTGACACTCCTAAATAGGTATGTAAGAGAGTAGCTTTTTTCAAAGAGGCAGAAAGTTCTTTCAGAGATCCAGCTTAATTATTTTTAATTTTCTTAACGAAAGAAAAGAAAAATAGTGCAAGAACATATTTACAGAGAAAGAACATTACAAAAGAGATGATTAGCAGCAGTAAAATTAAAATGGAATAAAAGTAAAAACTACATAGCAATGTTTGTCTAGCACAGTAGTCCAATTTGACATACTGTATCAGAGCCACTGACTCTCATAAGTAACTCTTAGTATTCCCTCCCTCAGTAAGCGAGAGCTACTGAGTTGTATGTGCAGGGATCTTTTCTGATCCTCTAAGAGGGCATTTACAGAATTCACCCAACCAATCAAAGGGCCTGAGGGCTGTGCTGAATGGGTTGTTGAAGTCTTTTATTATTTTCCAGGGGACACTCCCATAAAGCCAATTATTCTAACTACGGTATATCTCTATTTACATTTGGTACAATCTGACAAATAACATACTATTTTAAAAAATTAAATTACGATTTGATAGACACCATCTATGAGATGAATCCTATATATGTTTTCTCTATTTTGCAATATATATGTGTTTTTGGTGTAGAAAGGATTGACATCTTCTCGTACTTTAGTGTAATTCTATTACAGTAACAATCATGGAGATTGTATGAAACTTACCTC